GTGACATAAACAGATAGTTATATTGAATGTTGCCCACCTCATATTCCGTCATGCATAGGATGCCGCACGTACGGGTCTGCTGTAGAATGATATGTCCCGATGTTGAAGCATCTGAACATATCCCTAAATAACAGGAGAGAGGATCGAAGTCACAGATTCGTGCATGTCCGTCACATACTCAGATATATGTATTTGCGAGGATTTCAACAAAACTCGCACAGCCCATACCAAAAGGCAAGGCAGTGGATGGATATAAGCAAGAGAAAGACATTACTAAGTCTGGAATCAACAGAGCGAACGGAAGATATCCGGCACATCTTCCACCACCACTAGTGGTAGATATACTAGACCAGAACTTTTAAGCGAAAGTCTTTGGAGGAGGAAGCGGCGATCAACTGGGGGAGGCCAGAAGGCGTTATAAGTGAAGAAATCAACATGAAACGAAGGGTTCCGCTAGCGGACGAGGATAGGAGCGAAGCAACCACCCATGACGGGGCGAGCGACGAAAGTATTTTGAGGGTAACTAGGTTTAGTCAGTAAGGATCGTTACCTAGGTACAGGCTTGAAGGTAGATTGACTTACTCTCCTGAAACGGTGTCATACAGATCAGTCAGGGCTCGGTTTGTCGGTGTCTCATTGATCCAGGTTGCGAGATCCTTGATAAACATAGTCCGAGTATCGACTGAGCTGACCGCTGCTGCAAAGCACTCCCAGTCACCTATAGAATTGTGAATAATTTAAAACATGAACAGTTGAGCTGTTGGGGCTCTTACCTTTGGTGTATATGTGGCGGGTGTCTAGAGGCACACCGTACTTGTTTGCAACAGTTGGGTAGAAGTCGCTCTGCATCTGATAGACAGACTGAGGAACGAAATTCAGCTCTAGCTGGGCATCGGCAAAAAGGTTGTAGAGCAGACCTGCAGAAATGGTAAGCAAGGTTTCATGGGCTCGAAACAGAGGGCTGAACATACCATGGCTAGCGGTGTCGCCGTACGACAGGGTCGTTCGGGGCGGGTTGGCACCCTTGGCAATAGCCAGGTCCTGCCACTGAGTGATGTAGTCTTTGGCAATTCTCGAGTAATCAGCAGCGTCGGCGGTGTTACCAGTCTGGTTGGCAATGACTGCCATAGCCTGAATACCGATCATGCCCTTGAGTGCGAGGTTGGTTTGGTTGCTAATAATGCCGGTTAGTTTTGGAAATTTTGGAGAGAGTGCTCACTCACGCTAGGGGGCCGGCAAAGTCGTCTGTTGAGATCTGGTTTGCAGGGTAAAGCGAGTCCTCAACCAAGTAACTGGTCCACTGCTTGAGCAGAGTGTAGTGGTCATTCAAAAAATCAGAGTCACCCGACTTCTGCACATAAGCCAAAGACATGATGAGCATATTCCCGCACTCTTCCAATGGCATTTTCTCGTCGCTGCCATCGGAATGACCCGTGGCGTTCGGGTAAGATGAGCCTAGATCGTGTATGGAATAGTCGTTGGGATACTTTCCGGCCTCTTGGTTCTCAAGCAGAGGAGTGAGAACGAGCTTCAGGAGTTCAGGGTTGGTGTACAGGAAAATCGGGTAGGCTGGGAAGATAACATCCACAGTGTTCATATTGCCGTTGGAAGAGATTTCCTTCAGGAACATATACATTTTGTCATGTGTACCACAAAGCTGGGTAGCACCGAATGCCTGCCGAACCGAGAGCGAAGTAACAGTGAGGTAGTCTTGTCCAGCTGTGGCAATTGAATCTTGGGCCACCCTGCTATCCAAAGAGCTCGCAAGACCGCTCGATTCGGTATAATCCTTGTGGAAGAATGAAAGGGCGGCCAATTCGGTAGCGAAATAGCTCTTCCACAAGGACGGTACCGGCGCATACTGAGAAGCGCCTTCATATTGAATGGCTTCATCCTGTGTGAGGCCCAGCGAGAAGAGTTTGCTGACGGGCGAAGAATCGACCGAGCCCAGATCGGATGAGAACCCAAATACGGGCCAGCTAGAAGAGATAGCCCGGAAATTGGTGTCGCCGCCATTGGTGAGTTTTCCATTTCTCGCGAACTGACCACGGACGTCGGTATCCGCACCAGACTGGTGGGTCGTGCCTTTCGAGTCGTCGGTGGCCCAGTACCAGTTACCCCATTCGCCCTGCTGGTTTTTTTCGGTAAAGGCCAGCTGAGTCTGTCGGTGTACCTTGTGGTAGGCCACACCGTCAGTGGTACCATACTCCCATTCTGCGATGGCATTTCGGTCGCCCGATACCCATTCTAACATTTCGTCAGTCACTGTATGTAAGATAAAGAGGTTAGAGCACCAAACCTGCAGAGATATCCGCGTAGACCTGCACATCATGCTTCTGTCCATCAAGAGAAGAGACCTCGACATTAATATAAGAGAAAACGAGGGACTGGCGCTTGAGATCGGTGGGTGTAACAGGTGACAAGAAAGTAATTTTCATTTCAAGCTTATTCTCCACGTTCATAGTGAACATGCTCCTAGTCGAGGTATACTCAAATGCGGTCTGATTGACGGTTTTAGATCCGGGGAGACCCATCCAGGTATAGGTATTGCCGTCGACGCGAATCATACCTGCCCACCCAGTGATCTGGTTCCTGTTCATATTTCATTAGTATGAGAGTTCGCATATAGCTCAAAGCACAACGATTAACTTACTCCCAGAAGACAGGCCATTGACCAGCCAAGTACCCGCCATTACCACCGTCGCTTCCTACATTGAGCCAAGTGCTCAGATAAGGCGACCTAACAGCGAGGGGTATAGCCGGGGGACGGGCAGGGGAGAAGGTCGACTGTGCTCCAATACAGGACACAAAGGAAGCGACCAGCAGACCAAGGCGATACAGCTGCATTATGACAGAGCTGGACGGAGAGATGGTAAGATACACAAAGTCCAATGTAGGGGCAACTTTGCTCTGTTATTTATTTGCAGGAAAGGGAAATCAGCTCTAGGGAGCTTCAATGCCCAGCACTCTGACGGAACGGGACGGCTGAAGAAATTGATCGGCGTTGTGTTTACAGTAGAGGAATGCCAGTGACATTTTTATAGTCGAGCTCGATCTACAAAGAGGGGGAGAAGCCAGAGGGCCCTCCGAGACCCGCATGCCAGAATGCGCTCTCTAGGGGGGGAAATCAAAGCGGCTTGGCATAATAGAAAATAGGTAACAGCAGACCTGCATGTCTCGATAAAATCCTAACGACGCTAATCTGCTGACCCTTCATCAACGCTCGGGTGGAAGAAGATTCATGCTAAGAGATGGACAAAATGATGTTAGGGGTGGGATCAAGACAGGGGGATTTAAGTGTAGTGACCGTGAAAGGTGGTGGACTTTCCTAGAATGGCTCAGATTCAAAGTCAAATCCCAAAAACGCGGTCTGCCAGTTTCCGGAAGAAACGGCATACCTTCAGGTCGCATGGAAGACAAGCAGCGGTCTATGCGGATCAACGAAATGAGTGGCGTCAGTAGACAAGAGCACCGGAATAGTCCCGACTTAATATGGTGCGCGCCTTGCAGATGACAGACCATACAACGGCATGGCACAAATAAGGTGTGGAGAAGAAGAGTGTGGTGAGATGTAAGAAATAAGGGGTGCAGACGAAAAAGAAACGGTGGTTTGAGGCCATCGCTGATAGGTCCAGGGCAAATAATAAGGCACGAGTCAAGGGAAGCGCCAAGTTCATGTCCTTCGTGATAACATCATGCGGACATATCGGCCGTTGGCTTTGACTTAATGCAGGTAATATCAGGGCTTGATCTTCATTGCGCGGTAAATCTGTGGGGAAAAGTCGATCAGCGGCGTGGCATTCAAGGATGAGAGTATCAGTAAAGCTATTTAATAGCCACGGTATCTGGAGTACGGAAGGTCTCAGAAGCCCGCAGTAAATGATAAAATTTCCATGAATGGTTTTGGTCTCATATCGGAGGAGTACCCCTTGCAGAGAAGCTCATCTCCGGAAGTCAGCTTTGGCCCCGACAGCCCGATCGGAGACAAAAAGACTCCAAAATTCCATCGGATCTAGACTCCTGCACGTATCTATTGAATACGGAGTACGAAGTACATGGGCTGAGGTCGCGTGCGCGTAGTACAAAATGCATCTGGTTTGAGAGTCCTTGATCCACTTCCTATTGAATCCTCCTTGCGTGATACGTCGGTCGAAATCCACGCTTTCGGTGTCCGTCCCCCGAAGTATATTATCTCCTTTCCATGCTATATACATGTATTAGATTCTAGCCTATGACCGGCCTTGCTACTGTGCCATCATTTCAAGGGTTTTAATACACCCCGTGATCTTGTATCGATAATTATTTACGTAATAAGCTCGGGGCTCGACCTGTTCACACCTAGGCACAGTGGGATCGCGTGCTGCTCTGCAGGTATAAGCCCCTTTTTAGGCAAAAGGCAATGCCTTTAACTTCCAAGCTCCGGGGAAATGGTCTATATACATAATTAAGAATCGAACTTTCGGAATTATTTCAGCATGTTGAACTAGCTCTATGCGCCTTTGATACTCCTGCCAACTTGCTCCACCTACTCCACTAAATGCTTGTCGGAAAGTATAGCACGTCAATTTATACTTTGCTTCTCTACATGTGATAATTACTAGACATATATCGAATGTCACCCATTATAAAATGCAAAGTGAAAGCATGATAGACGCACGGTTAGTCCTGATTCACATAGAGACGAGCATATGGTCGACATAAGACCTCTGCACAGACCGGCTCACCTACGGAAAGGTTTACCGACGCCGACCCTTCTTGACGAAATTCAAAAGCAACTCAACGTTCCTAGACAATCAAATGAACCTCTATAGCAGCTGACAAGAGAAATAGTGTCCAACCAGTGTGAAAAGAAGAAAAGGATAAGGAAAAGAGCAAGAAGAACAAGAAGAGCGAGAAGAATAAGAGGAAGTAACATAAATCGTGCCAGACACACCACGTAGTGGTTTTGACGCTTGGAAGACCATGGTATAGAGCAAACAGTCAAGTAACCAATGACAATCTCAAATTTCAACAGGAGATGTGACAGTTTCTGTCATGTCTATAAAAATCTGGCAAGGGACTCCCTTGTGTTCAAACCAATGAGTAGCCACTGTATCAGATGGAAATGAGAAAATATCAGAGTGAGGTATATCTCCAGCGGATCGCTCAGCATCCATGGTCGATTCCGATTCGTCGCACTCTTTTTCGACGATAGTGCTACTACTCGATTGCAGCATCTCTTCGACGGGAACTCCAGTACCGTCCACGAATCGTATCGAGTCGATAATATCTGGTCCGAATATAAATGTGTCGCTAAATCCCCTGTTGAATGTGATGTGTTTGATACACCCAGAATTGAGATAGTTATTTACCCGGAACCAGAAATCTGTTGGAAGGAAATATTAGCGAAGACCCAACTTGGTGTAAAATGTCTGCAAAGATTCCAAGGTTATAATTACCATGGTCCGAAATGTTACGTCCAGCACGGATATAGAACAATGATGCATAGTAATGCACAAGCACAAGACCACTGGGAATCGGGGTCGCTAAATAGAAAGATAGATAGTCAGCGGGAATCTAAACCTTACAAACAGCGGAAGTTTTTGCTAACCTCTTCGCTGACGGTAGACTGCCATCATAGGCATTTTCTTGCCATGTTTTGCAGGGACAGCCCTTGATAGTATCGGAATGCGCTGTCCCACCTTCGCAAGAACATTCGTAATAGCGGGTGGCCCTAAAGCCAAAGGCCTAATGAGAGGATGGAACTCGTGAGTCTTCCAGCTGATTTGTCCATTCATCCCTCTTTTCCAGCAGCGATCAAGTCCTCGTGCATCAGTCTCAATCCGATAGATCAGGTACCATCTCTTGAGCCATGTACTGATATCTTCGACAGGACTCGCAAGCTGTACCCCGGTGAGAAATCCAGTAGGTGCCAGAGCTTGTCGACGATATCCAATGTCGTGCTCCATAATTTGCCAGAAATTACCGATGAAGGCTGTAGTGGTGCCGGGACCACGCACAATCCGAATCGCAAGCCCAAAGACAAACTGCTCATAAGCTGCTGTAGAGAGGGTATCATGATCCAACTGTGTGATCACCCACTTTGCAAGAATAGAGATGTCTTCGTGATAGTAATCTGTGATCCCGATGTGGTACGCAATAAAAGGACCACCTAGAACTTTCCAATCTTTGTCGTCTCGAAGTACTATCGACGATCCCTGAGCCCCGTCTGCCATCTTGATATGGTAGAAATGACCCTCGTTATAGATAGACCAATGACAGGGTCTGGGGGTCCGGCTCAAGCGACGTGCCCATCTGTTCGGTTGTCCAACAAGGTAGACATTGGAATGCTCTGAATAGTCAGCACTTGGGTTGGGCTTATTGAAGGATGCATGGAGTTGTAGTTTGTATTTTGCGACATCGGGAAGGCGGGCTTTGGTCATCTGAGCTTTGGGCAATTCATAGACATGGTCTGAAAATCTGTTGCTCTTCTTGAGCTCGGCCAAAATCTCATGGTTGGAGACCCCATTCCTCATTCGTTCCAAGAACGCCTTCGCTCCGTCGCGGTCGCGCTTGAACGGTTCAAAAGGCATGATGGTATGAAATAATGAAAAATATGATGAAGATGCTGAGTTGGGAAGGTTGGATAGCTTGGAAGTTATGGGAATGTGCCCACTTTATACCTCGACTGAGCCCTTTGTTTCCCTGAAACGCGAAGCATCCTGGGAATGAATGCCAACCCTGCCTCGAATGGTAGGGAACAGCACAATAATAGACGGGATTTTATGTCCAGCACTGCCTCGCTATAAGCGCCTTGTTATAAGAGGTATCGGCAAGCAGTTACTGGCTGGACATAAGAGATCTGCGTGAAACCATCGGAATCTCAAGTGCCCGCCCATGACTTGTGGAATACTCCATGCCGGTAGCGCTTCGCAGTACAAATGTGGCTCCTTTGGGGGCAAATGGCTCATACTATTGACTTGTGATGGAGGGTATAACCTAGATGCTAAGACGAGGTGAAACAAGTACGGCGGCAACCACGGCGCCAACTGGGATTGAGCCTTAAAAGTCCAAAATCGGAACAAGTAACATGGAAAAAAAAACAAAAATGAGGCACAAATTGTTCGAATCAACTAGGTAAATTTTGATGTGCAGGTTGACTGCTGTCGTGATGGGATTAGTGTACGGAGGTATCGAATATCCAAGAGCACATCCCCCGAGCCATCATGTCCCAATCCAACACAAGGGAAAATCCCGAAACGCCCAATGTCAACCAATTATGTCCAAAAACACAGATATCAAACCCAATCACAAGTTCCGACAAATCAAACAGCTTTGCGGACCTCCCGGCATCCTTCAGAGACGACGATGACCTATCACTAAACGCCCAGCGACATCACCAAATTGCTCCACCTAGACCTCTCAGTATAGCGCGTAAACAACATCCAACGATACCTCAGGGCGACCAATGTCACCCCGACCCTTGAATCACAAGTCTCAGTGTCGCGCCAGATAATCGACGAAAAGATCGATATGCATCTCGTATTCACATCAAACTACTACCGCAATATCTTCTAGACAAACGATCTTGGTCCATCTCACCTGCAACGGGACTGATTCGAGTCCAGTCCTACAATAGTAGCGTAGAGAACTATGAAACCACAGCCATCGCTTGCATTATTATTACTGTTGGATGGTCCCATCCCCCGTGCATGGATGCCTGGTTTCTCAGACTGAGCCTTTCTTGTTTGCTCTTTGTGGCCTCTATAGGAGGCCTTTCTTTTGGTAGATTGAATGCAGCAGCTTCTTCTTTTCAATTCTCCCCTAGATGCTGAGTTTCCCCGTAGCCTCAACATTTACTAAGCATATCCATCCTCCAGGGCTCCAGGGCTCTGCCAGGCCTACCTAAGTAACCTTGGAAGAAGCTTAAACGAATCCTACTAGTATACAAGAGCAGAGGACAAATCAACAAGTAAACATATACACGACAGAACAAAGAGCAAGGATAGAGATAATTTACGCAAACAAAAAGAAGACACATTATATAGCACCCACACACACATAAAATCACAATCAAGCATTACGCGCCAACTCAATACAAAACTCGCCCCAATCCTGCCCGCCATTCAGCGACAGGATCTCCTCCGCAATAGCCTCCTCCAGACGCTCATGGTATCTGCGCCTGTACTCGTTCTTAACAAGATCGAGATGTCTAGGTTCCCAATGCAGACGCACGAGACGGGAAATGAGGAGCTCTGAGCGCTCGCGGCCGGTACGGGATTCGCGGAGGGCCTGGTGGAGGAGGAGGGCGTCGCGCATTGGTCTGTTGATTGCGCCGTTGAGGATATGGGCGAGGGTTTCACCCTATGTGTGGACATAATGTTAGTGATGGGATTCGATATACGTAGTCAGTATTCAGGAGTCAGTATTGACTGGAGGGGGTATCGAAAAAAGAAAAAGAAGGAAAGCAAAACGAAACCAAAAAAAAAGGACATAAGACGATATACGTACCACCAGATTACGCGACTTGGAAATCATAGCCCTAGTAAAATTATGACCATAATTATCCTCATAAGCGCGCAGCACCTCCCGCAGATGCGAATCACTCCTCAAAACAATAATATGAATCATAGCCGTCTCACCCCCCTCGCGAACAATAGCACGATGCAAATCCTGCACATCATCCCTGACGAGCCGTCTATCCAGCGGCTCGCGCTCATCCTGCCGCTGTCCCTCGAGCGCAAGCAGAATCGCCACGCGGAACTTATCCGCGCGCAGCTCGGAGCGCATACAGCGCTCGAGACTATTATCGTAGCGGGTATCACGGAAGGAGTTTTTAATTTCGCGGATGGCAGCATTCGACCGACCCATCAGGGACTCGATTAAGAGTTCGCGACGCGATGTCCCGGCTTGGTAGTAGCAGTTTGCCCAATATGCTTCTGATTCCCAGCGACCGAGGGCTGTGGCGTAGGAGACTTTGCCGAAGGAGGAACTGCCGAGTTTGAGACGGAGGTGTTTGGCGAGGTTTATTCCTTTTCCTTGCATGCGCACGCGGGTTTTGTATTCCTGGCGGAGGAGGAGGATCTCGTCGCTTGTTAGTCGGGGTAGGATTTGGATGATGGGTTTGCTGTCTATGTTGCGTGTGTGGTTTAGGGCGGATTGCATGGCAGCGGCGTCGGGTCCGGCGTCGTAGAAGGAGACGCGTTTGCGGCCGGTTGTTGGGGACACTAGGACTCTTGGCTCTGTGCTGAGGATGGAGGAGGTTGAGTCGTGGCGGTCGTGGCTGACTGTTGGGCGGGTGCGGCGTTTGTCGTCTTTGTGGTCGTTGCGCTCTTTGTCTTTCTTGTCTTTGCTGCTGCGGGAGCGGGAATCTTTCTCGCTGACGGATGAGTGGGAGCGAGTGTGTTTGCTGCGTCGGCCTGAGTCTGAGGCTGAGGTTCCGCCGTCAAGTGGTTCGAGGTCTGAGATGTCATCATCGCGAATGGAGGGGATGACGATCGGGGATGGCATGGGAGACATGGACTGGTAAGTACCATGATACGGCTCTAGCAGTGGACTAGCCGGGGGATGAGCCGAGTGAGCTGCACTGGCTCCGCCAACTGCGAGGCTATTCGACGACACAGAGTGACTGTGCGGACGCGCGGACGACCGACTACCAGGCGCGATCTCCACAAGCTGAGGCTCATGCTTATACCGATATGGCTGCTCTGGAGGTTGCTGCTGCGATTGCGGGTGATGCTGATTCTGCGATTGCTGCGGTATCGGTCTAGAAAACTGCTCATGCGTAGCAGCAGGGTATATCGGCTTAGACGCAGGCGCTGTCGCCGGCACCGGCACCGGCTTCGAAGAATACTTCACATTAGGATCGATCTGAGCGTACTGGTACACGCCGGGATTCGCATATCCCGCCGCTGGCGGTGGATAACCAGTATCACCAGCCGAGGCAGTACGATAATGCGACGGTGTATAACCCGCACTCGTCGCCGCATACTGAGCCTGCTGGCCCGATGAACCAGTGTACTGCAGAGAGGGATTCACAGGCGCCGGCACAGTGCCCGAGCTAGCGGGATAGGTCGACGCCACAGGAAACGCGCCGGGCATGGTAGCCGGGCCGGCAGGCTGCGAGGAAGGCGGCACGAACCCAGGGCGTTCGCATTCCGGCACGGAGGCCCAGTCAATCGGCGCGGCAGGGTATCCCGGCGCAGCAGATGCGAACTGCGTGGGCTGGGCATAGCTGTACCGATTCGGGCGCGCATAGCTTGGCGCATCACCGTATGCGAGGTCGTCGTCTGAGTCGGAGTCATGGTGATTCACGCGACCGCCGCGGTCTGGCGAGGGCGGTCGCCGATGCGACCGCGACGAAGCCGCAGCAGGACCGCGCTCCTCGTCCGAGTGTTCATAGCGGTCATCGCGACGTCGTCTTGAGCTCTCTGCGTCGCGGCGCCTCGATTCCGAGTCCGAGTCTGAGCGGTCCACGTCGTAGCGGGAGCTTCTCGGGGCGCGCGAGATGACGGGGCGGGGCTCGTCGTTGGTCTCGCGACGGCGCTCGCTGATGAGCTTGTATTGACGCTCGATTTCGGCTTCTTCGTCTGGGTTGTAGCCCTTTGTTCTGGGGACTTCGACGGCTGGCGAGCGTGAGCGGTGCGAGGGGGAGGGCGAGGGAGAGGGGACTCGGCTGTCGCGCGACCGCGACCGTGAGCGCGAGCGGCCAGGGGATTTGGATCGGGTTCGCGACCGTGGGTCGTTCACTTGGAGGGACATTGTTCCAATGGGGTTTCTGTTCTTAATATTCAATGTGTTTTCAACGGTGCTTATTTCCTTTTTTTGGTCCGAAATGTCTTCGGTCACACAAAAGGAGGGTTGGACTTGGGGGTTTCTTTGTGCGATATCCACTAGGTCATTCTATACTTCCAAGGTTATAGATATGAAGCCCTCTCTACCTATGTGTAGGTGAATTGAAAAGGGAAGGAGAGGAAAGACAAATCGAGAAGTTTATAGCACCTCGTATTCATCGGCGCCAGCTTATGAAGAGCTAGTTCTTCACCCTCCTCATGTAGCCAAGGATTAGCGGCTCTTATTGGCTTACAGCTGGACTTAAGATCGTCGGTGTCCAGCGCTTCAGCCGCAGGAGAGTGGCCAATGCGCATGTCAGATTGTAAATGAGGCCAAGGATAGATTAGTACGGAGTACATTCATGGAAGGTTGTCTACTGTCTCAGAATTACGCATTCAAGATAAACTATCAAATTACCGTGCAAACAATAGATGAAAAGCACTAGTACAGGTTCCGGATTTCGAAACGTTTTGTCAGAAGAGAAAGGAAAGGCAAAGGTATGACATAAAAAGAAGCCTTGCGAGTCGCTAGGCCGCGAAGAATGGGGGTATGTGCGGGAAGAGAAAGCTATGGGAACAGAAGGAAGGGAAGACAGCCCGTTTATCGCGTGCGGCGGCCATCATGAGGTCCCTGACGGCCACCGTAGCTTTGCTTCTGGGCGGGCATGGACTGTCCGTTGCGGTTGAGGCGGTTGGTTCTCCAGCGCTCATACCAGACCACGCGGCTGGCCTCCCGCAGCTCGGAGCGCCAATCGGAAAAGACGGAGTCCTTCAGACGAACAAAGTCACAGTGCTCGGGGTCGTATGGGTCTGCAAACCCCCAGGGGAATCGGCGACCGACGGGTTTGTCACCAGCTGCCAGCGAGTGAGGGTCCGGAGACAGAATCGAGAACGGAACGTGCTGGTTGGCGGCCTGCGACGCGTTGGATCGGCGAGTGCCCTGGCTGAGCTGGGATGGCGAGCCGGGGGCATTTTCGGTTGCGCTCTCAGATTCTTTGGCTTCACTGACATCTCCAGTCTCGAGCTCCAAGATCTCCTCTTCATCCGCACTTTCCGACGAGGAGTATTCTTCCTCCTGGTCCTCCAAAGTCAAGATCTCAAGGGGGTCGATATTGGCCTGCTTCAGGCTGTTCCAGACCGCCTTACGGAGGTAGCTCATGTGGGCGGAGGTGATTGTATCCGCCTTGCTGATAACCGGCACCACAGTGGTCTTGCCCAGCACCGTGCGCAACACCTGGATATCCAAGTTCTGGTCCAGGATCCCCACGACAGGCGCATCAGTGGCCTTGGACGTTCCGTTGGCAGCACGCTCAGCCATGGCGATGTTCTCATCAAGACGCATAGGATCCAGAAGTAGGAAAGTGCAGTGAATGTGGGTATCGCGGGCACCGGGAGAGCGAATAACCTTCATCTCCTCGGCGAGCGTCTCCTCGAACTTGCTCTCCAGGAAGCCTGTCACACCACGCAGCTGAAGATCTGCGATGTTCCGCTCCAGACCTACAGAGTCCCACAGGGTAAGTCCGACACGTTCTCCATCGAACTCCGTTTCCAGGTATTGCGATGTGAATCCTTCCCAGGCCGAGGTTTGACGCTCGAGCTCTTCGACCTCCTCAGGGGTGCGCGAGGGGTGCTTATGCGCGGGCATGGTCAGAGCACTCCGGAGGAAGTTCAGGAATGAGGTTTTTCCCGAGTTACGAGCACCGATGACAAGCACACTAAAACACGTCCATTGTTAGCTGGTCTCCTTGTTGATGTCATATCTTCGCGACTCACTTGTATGAGGTGGGGTCCTTGCGACGGCGCACACGGCGGGGGCTGTTCACGGTGCTGACAGCACTACTCGCATAGCTATATCGGCCACGATGGGTCATGCTCTCAGTGCGCGCATAGGGATCGACGTTGTTGATTGACCCCATGGAGGGCGATGCGGGAAGCCCAGACAGTGGGCGGATTGGGATTGGGTCGGCGAACTTATCACGTTCCTCGCCTCCAAAGGTTTCCAGTTGCGGGGCGGGGGAAAGATCAGGCAAGCGGGGAGGGACTTTGGGGGCATAAGACTCGCGCTGACGGCGCATCTCATCTTCCTGGGCTTTAGACATCTTTTTGCGGGAAGACTTTTGCTCGCCTAGGGGTTCGGTGGATTTAGAACGACGAAGGAATCCGAGGGAGGTGCGACGGTTGACGTCTGTTTCAGGTCCCAGGCGCGTAGAGGGGGTTGCCATTTTGGGAGTTGTCTGTTCCTTCCTGATTAGATTGTTTTCTTCTTTCTTTCTTTTTCTTTTCTTTTCTCTTTTCTCTTTTCCATTTCTTTCATCTTTTCTCTTTTCTCTTCTTCTTCTTATTACCAGGCAGTTCTGGAGTTATTCTCGAAATCTCGATATTGCATAACCCCAGAACCCCTCACCACGGACGTCAGGGGTAACCTTGGGCGACTGCCACTCACCAATAAAACGATATAGATATATATCGGAGTTCAACAGCGCTTATAGTGCAGCTCAGACCCGGAGATGGAGCGATTCAAAACTGCTCCGAGGATAGACAAAAGTGGGATTCAATCCTTGTCAATTGCCCGGGTTGTATCCGGTTTCTCAAAAACGAAAAGTGTCTGCGACAGCAGAGAAATGAAAAGAGAGTAAGCGAGAGTGGAATCAACGGAAATCCAAGTTCCCAGCCAGTGGGTGAAGGATGGAATTGAAATTGGGACTTGAACAAAGTTCCAACTTCAAAGTTCCTCTTTTTTGGTTGTTTTTGTTTTTTCTTACAAATAAGCCTGCTCACAGCGTCCAGCAACAGCGGCGCTTGGAGAAAGATGGAAAAAGAGGGATAGGAAGGAAAGGCAAGATTCAATTTCACTATTTTTTTACAGGGAAGATCGAAATGATCAAAGACCATAAGACCATCTCCAGGGCCATTCAGGGGTAAAATGTCAACTCCAAGGTCCAGGCTGTTCCCCACTTGAGCTTTGGGCTTTCTTTGGTTGAACGCCGGTTCGTCCGACACCAGCTGAAGCTAACACCGGGACGGGATATTTGTCTCCAATGGGCTTTCAAGGACTGTACAGAGTAAGGAGTAGTATGTACTATGATGATATCCTTGAATACACATGGTCAAAAACACACTCCTCTCAACCTCGTGGCCCTCGTGGCTTTGGGAATCTGGAACGTGCGCCAGGGGCCGTTTAGAGTCTCCACTTAGATACGAAACATCTGCCATTTCACTTAACAGAGGGAGTATTTCTCCAGATATTACATACAACATATGTTGTACTAAAGGAAACAGAAAGGTACATTGTAAGTACATGTTTGTCTTGTTTGCATAGTATGCCCCTGTTTCGTCCCTTTGTCTCCTCTCAGCTGAAATTGGACGGACCTAACCGAACCCGCAGGCTAACCTGTCCCGTCTAGAAGCCATCGGCTCCAGAATAGCAACTCGCAATGCCGCAATCTAATAATGCACCTAATCAAACTAAGGCGCCGTTTAATAACCATATCGAACACCCAAGCCACTTGGACTTCTCCAATACGAGCTAGATCAAATTCTGAAACACGGCAATTTAAGATCTCAGCCCAAACACGAGAGATCATATTGCGACGGGGGTGGGGCACACGGAACCGGCGACGCGACGAACTATTTTCTGGCGATGCTAGTCAAGGTCGTTCTGCTTTGTATATAGTACATCTGAGACTATGCTGTTTTCTCATGCATGGTACATATGTGGTATGGAGTATGTATTTGTACTCTCTATGGTGTACCCCCTACGGGGTAAAGACTTCGCGTTTCCTACGCGACATCGAGAAATGACGGAGTGGATCAAGAGTGGGGTGGATTTCCCTCGCGTGCAGGAACTTTCTTTCTGAGAGAGAACGGTAAAAGGGACCCAAGGATTGAGAGTAGAGGGAAGAATCAAAGTAGGAACTGTGAATAAACTTCCTTTTCTTTTGGTTGTTCGCCCTGAGCAGATACCTCGCGCTTGGGCCAAGCCGATGCATCACATTTTGATTTTTACTCATATCACCAGGTTTACAGGTTCCAAGGACATCTCAATCTAAGCAACAGTCTTTTCACTCTCATCAGTATATACCAAAACTACGCTCTCCTATATTCATGATCATTGTAATACCCATCAAAGCAAACCCCATAATCTCCCAACCATCACGAAGTCGCATCCACAGACCAGATCCTGAACGGAAGCACAAAGCACGGCTTAGAAGGACACACCAACTCCCTATCCAAGCCCTTGAACTTAGGACCATTGGGACCAGCAACGTTCTTAGCCTCACCGAAGATAGAGGGCTCATTGGGTGGCTGGTCATCCCCCCATCTCCCATTGAAATCCAACCACGCCACCGGATCTTTGGAGTTCACAGCATTGAACCCAGCTGTCGTTTCGTCATAAGTGTAAATGTAGACATTGAGCACGGGATCCCACAGCAGGCCACGGTCTGTATAGTCCAACAGAAACCCTGCAGGGAGATTGAAGCCTGGGATGGTGTGGTCGTGTTGTCTGGGTTTCTGCATCAGTATGGACGTTCCAACAACTCTTTACAGATTACCTGAATTTACCCTGGAATTGCATAGATCGCATGCGTGCCTTTCGCGGAGTAGACATATGGCCGCTTGTCCTTCTTTTCGACGGCGGCGTAGGTAAACGCCTGCCCGCTAGCATGCTGGCTGTACCATATTGCGTCCGGCGTGCCATTGACGAAGCGGATCATGTTATGTTCCCTTTTTTTTGTTCTTAGCCAGAGCCGCTTGAGCAGGGTGTTTCTTCACACTAACCAGTCTCCGATGTGGTCGCCGAATTCTAGGCCTAGTACCGTGCCGCCTTCGTTGAATCTGGGATCGGGTCAGTATAATGCAGACTTGGGATACAGTCGGGCTCACGCGTAGAAGTAAAAGTAAAACGCATCAACAGTTCCGTTGCCTCGATCTGCCATAATTATGATACTCGCTGTGCCATTGTCTGTTCGCCCCTGCGAGTCTGGTCTGATACCTCGGAACCAGGCTGGCTGTGGATTGGCTTCGATGCCCTCTAGGGATGTTAGGTAGACGCTTGTATTACCCATAGAATTGAGCGTGTCGAGGTTGTTGAGGGTCAGGGGCGACTCCACTCCCTCGAGGTCTGTCCAGTTGACGTTGGGTCTGGTGTGGTCGAGCTGCTGCTGGATATCGCTCGGCATGTATGTTTCCTGGCTATGAAGCCAGACCAAAGGTGCTGTAAAACGAATAAGCAAGCTGATATCGAAACTGCATGTATCTGATAGTTTACCATATTCCAAAACATATGGCGGGACGTTAGATGATGTGGCCCTGTCGTTGAGTGATGCCCAGACTGGTTGGGTCGAAGATAGACCAACTAGTGCCAGCGATATAGAAAGACGCATCTTGTGTTACAGTTCCCGAGTGCTCGGGAGCGACAAGCTCCCTTTTAATCTCTATGAGGGAAATAGCCAAACCTTGTTAACTTATAACGATGCCTAATCTAAATGTTTACCGCATGACCTCGTCATAGGCATCAGATTCGACCGTGTGGCAAGAAGCAGTTAAACGAAGATCGAAATAACAGAAGTCATTATCAAAAGGTGTTTTGTTATTCAGCGACGCCATGCATCCGTCGAGTTTGACTCCTTGACGGTGATCATGCCTGCGTTCCGAGCGACAGGTCACAGCACCCCGACTCGGATTTTTCAAGCTCGGACAAGACGATGAGGCCGTGGACAATCCAAGGTGTACTCAGGTGGTATTTCTCCTGCAATAGGGTGGGATTGTTAAAAGCTTCCCTGTTTATCGCCTGTTTACCTCCTTTACCCTCCGGGATAAAGTATGCAGTATGCAACTCCGAGGAGTGTGAGGCTTCTATAGAGTACACCCATGAACAGGTGGGAGTTGGAAGAGTCATAATTCGTTCTTTGCTAGTGGTCATACTAGTTCGATATGCATGTCTGATCTCGCGGATGGCGGATGAAGATCATTGCTCGAAATTGCTGTTGGGCTGACAATGTCACCTGCCCACGAAACCATCACCACGAAAAGATCGGGCTGGTGTCGAATTAGGTTGAGTTATTTGTAGTGATATACTATTCATGTGGATATGGTCATTTGTAACTCTTGCTTGTATTTGGAGCCCTGAGACGCTCCTCGATATCTGTATAGAATGGTGAGATTCGCCAATAGCATCGCCTATCTATACCAGCTGTTGGCATTCCTAAACATAACACGGTGTGGTGATGGCTCTTTACCTTGGCGGCTTGTAGCTGAATCTTTCCATGTCTTTAGATCCAGTTCACCATTAGTGAACAGTTTAAAGTACAAGAAGGTGTGTACTTTGGCATCCACTCACTAAGGCTTTCAGGAATCCTTTTTAGTTGACTATGTACAAAAAAAAAACTACAACGCTAGCTTGAGCTAGTCGGCTCTATTTAGACTTACCTACTTGCTTTATCCCTCATAATATCAGTTAGCCTAGTTAACTTTCCCCCGTCATACCATGAAGCTTGGCTATGCAGCATATCGGACCACCCAAAGACCAAACCACGGATACTAGCAGCTCATCCCAATTAATACTATATTTCAACTGGCATTTATAAACAAGATGATACGTAGTCTTCTTCTTCTACTACTACCACTACTCCTCCTTCCTCCGCTTAAAAAGCCTCAAATCCAACGGAATCCGATCACCAAGCCAAGTCGCGCGCTGGGTGTGATTGCGCTCATCCTCTGATCCCACTGTATTGGGATGAATGAGAGCACTAAGCGGACCCCGATTGATAACCAACCAAGGAACGAAGGCCCCAAACTGCGCCGGTGTGAACAAATTCACTTCGAACATGGCCACCGGGTGAGGGCCAATAGGCCGATCGAAGAAAGTATAGATCCGCAGCTCGGGGACTGTTTAAAAGTGTAAGCAATAGATTACAATAGATTAGTTGAAAATGAACCGCAGTAGACGGCCAGACGATGCAGTTCCTTGACTAGAAGCCGCGTTGCTTACATTCTCGTCTGATACGTTCCCAGAGCGCTCTGGCGTATGCGGCTTGGTCAGGATTGTTCTGGTCAATGCGTCAGTTTCGCTGTAGCTTGACTTTGTGGGTCGGCGGTACCTACTTGGAAATGATAGATGTGGACGTCGAAGCCTCCCTCTCGGCCTTTGGAAAGAGGGTCGGGGAATTCCGTGTAGGCTTTGCTTAACACGCCATGTTGAGGGTTCTTCAATGACTTGCCGTCTTCGGCGCGCTCGCTGTAGTAGAGGATAAGTGTCTTGACTTCATGTGGTTGCATACGATACTTACTCGGATAGCGGCTCGAGGTTCTCATACCCCTCCAATGGAGATGGGTATGAGAAGGCATACGGGTCTGTCATTGTGAGTAGATTGGGTTATTGAAGAAGATAAAAGGAGAGCAATGTAAAATAGGAGGAAGGCTATAGGTATATGTGGCGTATAACTTGGGTTATCAGCAGCTTGCAAATCAACGCAAATAATCGAGTTGCGTAATGTAAAGATCTCCAGTAAGCATTCGCCAATCTTTATATCAAAAAATGTCGTCAGTTAAACCTGGAGTATCATCATCAAGTCTGCGGGGGAATTTCCGCACTCTGACAAAGCCGCGGAACAGCCCTGGATGGCGACTACGATGTACATCGTCCAATTGTACATCAACTGTACCTTTTCAAAGGTAAAAGTGACAAGTATTAAATATTAGCTTGCTGTCAGGCAGGATGCTTACTTAGAAACATTATTGGCGTATTCAACACCCTGTTGAGATTTTATGCTATCCTCCCCACAAATATATTTATCTTCCATCTAGAGATAATGACTATAACAACACTGAACTATTGAAAGAAGCTTATATTTTTAAACCTATTTTGTATAGCATAGACGAGGCAAACCAACATATCCATGAAGTTTAGGCCAAAATTAATGAAAGTTATAATATACACCTTGGTATCACCCATAACACAGTCCTCGAACGCCCATTATCGAAATATCCAATAAATACTACCAAGCAGCCCGAATATCAATATGGCCATCGTCATCCACGAACTTGCCGCGATCCCATTCCCGTCCTTCACCTTTCTTTGCCCACTGTACATCCTCCGGTTTGCCTTCTCCGTCCATGCCCGCAAAAGAGGTGTTATTCTTCCATTTATCAATAACTGCCTCATCGATTCCAGCTGTACGTAGCCTCTCCTCGCCCTTGTTTCTCCAGCGTTCACGATCGCGCAGCGCCTCCATTGCCATGTCCCAGTCATCGTCTTTTGTCATGAGCCCTGCGACAGGACGACGAGAGGATTCCTGGCCCATGAAATGTAATTTGTCTTCATCTAGATGCACATCGGTAGCTGGGTCGTAGCCGGCGGCAAAGTGGGCATCGATGTTGCTTATATTGTGTTTGTAGGCACCTCGTCCGCGCGAGCGGATAGGTGCCTCGTCTTGTCGAGGAGGAAGTGGTCCGACAAGGTCTTCTAGGGGATCGGATTCGTTGCCCATCTCGCTTTGGCGTGCAGGTATAGTAGACAACGGCGACACTCGTTTATGTCGCGTGCTGGTTTCAAGGTGAGAACGGCGGGAGCCATGTGGCGATGCATCTTCCCGCTTTGACCGCCGAGATTTGTACGACTCTCGTGAGCGGGAGCGGGAAATGGAGCGAGCAGAATGTCCAGATTGACGCTTTTGTCTTCGGTGACGATGACGATCGGTACTTCGGTCCCTGGGTGGAGAATGGCTGGGAGACCTCGAGTATGATCGCTCACGTCGCCGCCTGATGTTTTCCTTATCTCTGTCCCGTCGATCTCTCCTTGATGACTCGTGATCCCTGTGTTCGCGCCGATGTTCATCGCGGACTTTGTCTCTCTCTCTAGTTCCGTCATACTCTTCGTTTCTTCGTCGATGCCTTCGCGACCGGTCTCGTTCCGCCGAAGGGGAGCGACTTCGAGTTCTTTTTCGATGTGTGAGATTGCGATTTTCCCAATCTCCTCTCCGGTGGTCCCTTGATCCCCGCACTTCTCTCCGATCATCAGATCGTTTGGAAGAACGGTCTGACGAAGTTGTAGCCAAAGCACCTGAAGTACCCGAGGCCTGATATTTCAGTTGGCGCATACGCTCCCGTGCTTCTCTTTCCTCCTTGAGCTTGAGAGCTGCGTTATGATTGTCTGTTACTTTGATGAGATTCCGTAGGAAGCGGGTATTGGGTTTTGGGGCATTGCTTGTCGGCCTGCAGGTGTCTGTTAGCCTTGTACTCATGCAAACAGCAGACCGTGAGAGCAAACGGACCTTGAAGGCATAAAAGCACTCATTCCTTGGGATGCATATTTTATAGAACTCTCCTTAGCCTCCTTGGCCAGGATCTGGGCAACATAATCATCGTCCATGATCCAGATGAGCCGCAGATCGCAGGACTCTCAGGGTTTGGAAGGAGTGCACCGAGGAAAGTGAGAAATTCAAAGCAAGAGCAAGTATATACGCTAGGCCATTTTAAAATAGAACAAAGGCAGAATCCTCCTCAGTCGAGAGACCAAGAGAGGCGAAGACGAAAGCGCCTTCCAAAAGTTGGCCTGACCGCCTTTGATATAGGGCTGTTTACTGTCCCGCAACTGTTATAATGGACGCGACCCCCAAGCTCTCTAGCAATCGCAAAGCTCGTTGTATTTTCTTTTCATAGCGGGTTTTCCATAACTAAGCTCTATCAATATGGTAGACTCATCGACTGAAGCCCTTGCAGCACTTCAGCAGCTGGAGGAGAATGGCAAATTGAAGGACCGACTCGCGATTATTCGCATCAGCGACCCAATTTCCACCGAAGTTGGGGGATCCTGCCCGTCTCCCTCGAAAAGAAACTCTGATGCTTCCGTCTCAAATTTTGACGGCCCTACCCCCGCCTCATTGGAGGCTGATCTTTCACATTACAAGGTCCGCGCGATGAGCTCGAACGCAGCAAATGCTCGCTTCCCAGACCATCAAGTACTGATGTTTTCGCATAGGAACTATTCTCCAAGCTGCGATTCTCCTACCTCGAGCAAGTAACGAAAGAAAAGTTCTTGCGCGCCATTGTCGGCGACCCGCCTGTGATTGTCGGACACAACGAGAACATGGAACTGGAGACACAACTAGCGGATGTGAAAGCCGAGCTCAAGGCACGAAAAGAAGATGCACGGGTTATGATCGAGGAAATGGAGCAAATGGGTCGTGACTTGGCAAGCCGTAAGTGGCCAATGACCGTGGAAGATGGACATGTCAACTGAAGCGTCTGCTGCAACCATGACAGGCTACAAGAATGTCGAACTTCAAACTACACAGCTCTCAACGCTGCCTGCGTCAATCGAGAATCTCGAGTCAACCATCGCCGAGCTCCGCGCCAAGCAGATAGCCACCGTGGATCCTTCTGATCCTGACGATACTTCCTCCTCGCAGAATCTCCCTCTGCCCGCAACCTTGGCTCTGTTGGCGGAGCGTGAGGCGGAACTGGCAGCGTTGAACCGTCAGCTGGCTGCTGTGCACAACACGTTGCCCCGGAAGACCCGAGAAGCCGAGGCAGTAGAGAGAGAGCGCAGCGTGCTTGAGCGACGGAAGTCAGATGCGATCGCGCAAGCCCGTGAAGCCCAACGCAAGAAGCAACAGGGTGAAAGTGATGGACTAAAAGAGATGGGACGTTGGTACAAGGGGGCAGAAGAGATTTTGAAAGAATTGGTGGGGACCCAGGCATGATAGTCTGTAGGCCAAGCCTAGGCTTGTGTACGATGACACGAGGGACGAACGATTAAGTTTACCTTGGGCGGGTGGGGACCGGGGAATGGCGTTCAGGATCTACTGTACATATATGGGTCCCATGGATATTATAATTCTAGGTTACTAGAACATGGGAATTGAATCGTTAAATCGGGTTCCAAATTGAAGCCTTTTCGGCTGTTTTAGATTCATTGTATTGCATGATCGTAGAACATGAGACGCTATGCAGTCATTTTGAACCTCCATGGTATGAAGGCGCCCCAAGCGAAACCCGACCGTACTCCATTTTTTGGGGAATATTGGGAATAATTTATTCCTCCTCCTCTTCCTCGAGGTCCTCACCACCGGCGGCGGCAGCGGCCTTCTTGCGGCGAACGCGGCCGGGACGGCCACCACCGAAGGGCGAGGTGAGAGAGAAGTCGATGTGCTTCTGGGAGTCGAGGCGGACCATGAACGAGGGAACGTTGACGATCTGCTTGCCGACGCGGATGTGACGCTGCTTGATCAGGACACGGGCGTGGTGGATGGACTTGGCGAGGCCAAGCTTGTAGACGCAGGTCTGGAGACGGCGCTCGAGGAAATCGTCAGCCTTGAGGGCCAGGACGTAATCGAGCTTCATGCGGGACTCGTCGAGCACACCGATGCGGACAAGACGGCGAATGAGGGCATTGCCTTCGAAGAGACGCTTGGGGTCCTTCTCGTCGAGAGTAAGGAGCTCACTGTGGAGAAGATGAAAAATTAGCGCTGCGCCCACCAAATTTGATCTGCCTAGGTCCGATCGCTCAAAGCCTCGCAAAACCACAGATTGATTGTTCCTTGCACATACCGAGCAGCACGACGGATCTTGGAGAGGGTGAGCTGGACACGCCACACCTCGCGCTTGTTGCGCAGACCGAACTCGCCGACAGTCTTGAGTTCAGCATCACTATTAAAAAATTGTTAGGAATATGAATACGACATAACCAGAAGCACGCTTCTGATTAGTGGCCGGAGAGTACTAACAGACGGGCCGACTCGAAGGCTGTGATGGAGTTAGTCTCTTAACATTCAAATCGATAATTTCGTTGGAAATTCACTTACGGCGACGGGGGACCTTGTAGGTCTTGGAGGAAACGCGACTGCACGGGAATTGATTAGAATTGTGCAATGCTTTTCATTTTGTCGGTATACTCACGGGGCCATAGCTGCGGTTAGATGGGCGGAGGTTGTCGACGGGAGGTCGGAGGGTCAAGATGAATTGAGAATTTGAGTGTGTGTGATGCGAGCCCTACCCTAGTCCTAATTAGGAAATATAATTATGTCAGCTGATTATGTCATTTAACCTCTCCACCTGGGCACATGGCCAGGTCCATGGTTCCACTCTTAGCGACCTTCGGAATCGTCGGCGGTTCAATCACCTGGTACGTATGGCTTATCTGTAGCTATTATTTTTCTCTTATTTCTTTTATATATGTTTGTCTGAATTACTCGATTTACTATGAAAGCTATTTACTTCCAGCGCAGCGTGAAATTTAGGACATTCTTATGTATCGCTCTGACTTGAGAGCTCTCTTGATGTAGCATCATCACCTAGATCATCAAAACTGGGGATTTGCATAATGAGTTCCTGCACCATAACAAACAGGCGAAGGCGGTATAGGCCCAAAAGATTTGGGACGTTTTCGCCTCTTTACTTCCATATTTGACCCATCGCAATCAACAGTCAATGGGCTTGCTGTTTCCCCCAGCATCCCGATTTGGTGATCATTGTACGGAGTAAAAATTGTAGAACTAATTGATCTGCGAAGAATGGCAGTCAGTCAAAAAGGTCACTGATGTTCAAACGCATGTGAGTTGCGGGATAGTCTAGATTCTGGAGCTGGGTCCAAGACTCCTGGCTGCTGGACAGTTGTCATTTTGATTCCGGTGCCGTGAAGATGATATTGTTGTTGCCATTTGCTTCACTGTAGTGCATCGTCAACTGACGTCAAACATCCAGGGTTTGAGTACATCGTGGTTGAAGATCCCTTCGAAGATTGGTCTCCTGAATTCAGAACTATAGATATTAGATCGAAAGAGGCAGCATGTCACTGGATGTCTCTCCAAAGATGGCAAGGTTAAACTGATATATAGCAAACGAGATCAGACGCCGAGTCTGTCGGGAAAGAGGGTTGGATCACCGTAGACAAACCATGGAGGTCGAAGAAAAACCCTGGGTATTGACCTGGCAAAGGGTTAGCTGGTATGGTCAAAGAGCGCCATTAGTATCTCCTCAGCCAGCTACCACCTGCCAGCTTGCCGCTTTTGACGATTTATGTTTAGTGCATGTCAGTTACTATACAATTACCATGAGGACCAACATCAAATATGTAAATTCAGTAAGGAATCAAAAATATCCGCCGAAAGGGTTGGCATAAACACAGAAAAGAGGGGAAGAAAGAGCATTGCATGTTTATACAACAGAACTCGAAGTTGAAGGGCTTGGGGTAATTCAAGCTTTGATTGGTTAAAGGCTAATTATTACGCTAACCCCAATCAGAAAATAGATCGAAAATTCCGAAAGAGGCGTAGCGTGGCTTTAGCGAGGGTAGGTATGATTATGTCATGTCAATCCCACAAATTGTTATCCGACACTCTAGTTTTTCGTGTTGAAGGCCCCGTCGACAATTAACCACCAGCACCAACCACAACACCGCCGTCATGCCTCACTCGTACGGTCTGCGCGCCGGCACTCGGGTACGTTTTGATTCCCTTTGCGACACACATCCTTTTTTCATACTGGGAGGACGAACTGGATCAACTGGATACGCCCTTGGGCCTCAGGGAGGATAAGTGCTAACGAGTCGACGAACAGTATGCCTTCAGCCGTGGCTTCAAGGAGCACGGTATGATCCGCCTCTCCACCTACATGAAGACCTACCGGTACGCTCAAAACCATCGAATTTCGAACGAACGAGAATGAATTGAAATCTGACGGATATTTATAGTGTTGGTGATATTGTCGACCTCAAGGTCAACGGTGCCGTCCAGAAGGGGTCAGTACAATTCCGAAGCTTCCCATGCGCTCTAGCCCGACCGCCCACTGCGATCTTACACCATGGGCAACGCGAAACCCGGAACAGAGGACGAGAATCTAACAGTTGAACAGTATGCCCCACAAGGTCTACCACGGTAAGACCGGTGTCGTCTACAACGTCACCAAGTCCGCCGTCGGTGTCATCCTCTACAAGAAGGTTGACAACCGCTACCTCGAGAAGCGTATCAGCGTCCGCATTGAGCACGTCCAGCACTCCCGCTCCCGTGAGGACTTCATCAAGCGTGTCAAGGAGAACGCCATCAAGAAGCGCGAGGCCAAGGAGAAGGGTGTCCACGTTCACCTGAAGCGCCAGGCCGTTGGTCCCCGTGAGGCCCACTTCGTCAAGCAGGCTGGCAACAAGCCCGAGACCGTCGTCCCCATCGCCTACGATACCCACATTTAAAGGGCTCGCTATGGAATTGGAACGGTGTGTGCGGTTGTTAGGTGTTTACTGGGTTTTCACTCCATTTTGCCTAGACTGAAATGGACTTTGATACATGAGACGAAGCGCAAAGGGTTTCGGATGCCCTGGCACATCTCTCGCCTGTGCATAGATTCCCCTGAATGAAACAAAATCAAAAAATTTCCGAGTTCATGTCAACATTTTCCCCGGCCCAGCATAACTAAGATTCGATCTGTGTTCGTAGTACTGTTCATTCTCGCTCTTGGCCTTGGTCGGCGGCCCCATTTCAGAGCCACTTATACTCTGATGAAGCATGGTTCATAATTCAACCCCTGATGATTACACTCACTAACTGGATCTAAATGTTACGAATGATCATTGATACCACGTAGTGGCAAGGATGGCTTTGCAAACCGCTGTACTTTATCGAATTTCTTGGCCATATCAGCAGTAGAATCATCGTCCTGCTATATTAAACACATCGATGAATTTCAAACATTAAAGATGACACGTTCTCCGCCTACATGTGAAATGTCCAAAGTAGATATGTAGTAGATTTGCCCCTTAAGAAATTGCGGCCTCCACAAGGCCCCGGGGAGCGGAGAAAAAAGTCAGATCCGCCCAGGGAAAGAAAATATCACATCGGACGAACTTCATCAACTCTTCATCATTTGACTATATTCTCCTTTCAATTGCTATGATTTAATTTGGCTCGTGTTTTACCTTATTCTAATTCTTCTGTCTTTTCGATCTCATCGGCACGCCCGGCATTTCAGCCCTCCTGGTGGTTCCTACTTACGTCGTCCCACCATGACCTTCTCAACCACAGCTCCCAGCTCTGCGCCGGCGCAACTAGGGAGCACATCTCCGTCGTTGAATAAAGATTTGATCCCGCAATCGAGAGAAATGGGGGATGTCATTCCGAACCGGACACCACCGGCTAGTCAGGAAAAGCCCGAGGCGAAGCCATTTGCACACTTCGTTGCTGGTGGGTATGTTTTCCCCATTGTCTATAGGTATGCATTCTAATTGGAAAACTACAGGCTGGGAGGTATGACCGCAGCAACCCTCACTTCGCCGCTTGATGTCTTGAAGACGCGCCTACAGTCCGACTTTTACCAGGCGCAGCTACAGGCTCTACGCGCCGCGAAACCTTCGCCCGCCCCAACTTCCAATGCCTTGGTCTCTCTCACCCGGACCGCTGGCATGCATTTTAGCGAAACCTTCCAGATCCTCCGCTCAATACACGTTCATGAAGGATGGCGCGCACTATTCAAGGGACTAGGACCGAACTTGATCGGTGTCGTGCCTGCACGCGCTATAAACTTCTACGTCTATGGAAACGGCAAACGTATCCTAAGCGATTACTTTGATTACCGGACAGCCGAGCAAACTCCTATGGGCATTCATCTGGCCGCTGCGGCAATCGCCGGCATCGCTACAGGTACGGCAACCAACCCGATCTGGCTGGTCAAGACACGTTTGCAACTGGATAAGTCCAATGCGGAAATTGGAAAGAGCCGTCAGTACCGCAACAGCTTCGACTGTGTTAAACAAACTGTGCGCCATGAAGGCATCCGCGGTCTCTACCGCGGCCTATCCGCATCCTATCTGGGCGTGACGGAGTCATCTCTCCAGTGGGTGATGTACGAACAGATGAAAATGTATCTAGCCCGCCGTGATGCTCTTAAGCAAGCCGACCCGGCGTACGATTACACTTCATGGGATTCGGCGGAACTGTGGGGAGGACGAATCACTGCGGCTGGTTTGGCCAAGCTGGTTGCAGCTGCTATCACCTACCCACACGAGGTCGTTCGGACGCGTCTGCGTCAGGCACCGACCGTCTCGTTGGGCAATGGCAAGGTCGAGATGAAGTACACCGGCTTGGTGCAGTGCTTCAAGACTGTCTGGAAGGAAGAAGGAATGGTCGCTATGTATGGGGGCCTAACGCCACACTTGCTTCGTGTCGTCCCCTCTGCTGCGATTATGTTCGGAATGTGAGTTGCTTCAAATTCACCGGGGAGGCTCAATGAAGCTCAATATACTGACTATCTCACTAGGTACGAGTTCATTCTGCGAATATTCGGCACAACATCATAATCTGCTTTTGCTCTCAACTCAACCCTGCATTGCTTCTCAGCTTGTGCTATCACTGTATAATATTTTGCTTCTGTCAGCTTTCCTCTCCGCTCCCTGGGTGGCTAGGGAGTGATTTTCTTTTGGTTGTTCTTGTATTGTGTATAGAAGAGAAAATGGGCTACCTGCATGTGTACGGCGTATGCGATTTGGGGGTCACACTTTAATAGACAGGCGTCTCTACTCCGACCTCACCTACAAAAGCAAAAAGTTTCTGCGCTGGCTGTTTATTTGGGATTTGCGATTCCGGGGCGAAGCTTCCTGGGCATTGCTACTCTACTTTTTTACGCCACTCACAAGGGTGGCAGAGCACAGGAAAGGGATAGAATGACATAGATACTCTCAATACACTTGTACCTTTTTCACTACTAGGGCCACAATAGTACATGCAGACTGCATTGCATTGCAGAAGCTGTTTAATTGCACCGCCACCAGAGCGTAGCTCTCTCAAGTTACTCTGAGACGAATGGCCACCACGGTCCAACTAACATCGCCACGAAATCCAAGTCGGGCATCACTTTACTAAAGGCACCCGAACCCATTCACCTGATCGGGCTGCCTCTAGCCAAGTCCCGATGATGGACTATTTCTTGCCCGTGTCTAGTGAAGAAGAGCTGCACTCGACTTGTACTTTGTCTAATGTCGGTTACCTTGAACTTGCGGTAAGCACTTTTCGCCCTTTCATTCATCTCTATATTCTCATCGAAGCGCCCGATGGTATGGAATACGAAGTACTAGTTTCCTACATTGGTGATTGGCTTGTTTATGTCCTTATATTGCAGGCGAACCCCTAGGGCAAGTGAAGAGGTCCATAAATCGGTGCCTGTAGGATTTGTGCGCGATGTCCCGTAATCGTGCAGTATGCGCAACTCGGAACCTCAGAAAGGTTCTATGTAGAAGGTTAGCTGCTCGATAGTCGAACACACGAACACCACCCCCTTTGCGTTTCAGACCCTGTTCGTGTGGCGGAAAAGGGGCTATAAAGTGAGAAAATAATATTATCAAAGAGTATGTACGGAGTGTAGATTTTGTATTACATCTCGAGCGGCCTAGATTCTTATGTCTAGACTTAAAGATCTTCGTGGCTTGCATCCTTTGCCCATAACCTCATATGTTGTAGACATCTAGACTCTTTGGTTTCCTGAAGCATAAGGGCATACGTACTCCTTGGAGCCCGGGCGCTAAAGCCAAGAGCCTGAGGAGAAGCGATAGTTCGAGGAGTAGCATATACTATACCCCGATGGGTTGTTCCCAGGAATCTGTGATGTGAACAGTTATATTTAAGGCAATACAGAAATGGTAAAGAATGTTTCTTGAACGTATAGCGTAAATTTTCCGCGACCCCATTCCGTTGTGTCAATCTTTGTATGGCTTAGACTCGAAGATCATCCCGAGGTCTACCTTGAAGCGGTGGCGAACCATTCCCACGGGTTTACCAGCGACCAGTCGTATATGTTGTACTTGGATATCTTTTTTTTGATGGAATGTGCCAGTGTCTAGATTCTCGAACTATGCCTTTCTGGCGTAGACTCTACTGGAAATGGTGTGATAGAACTACTAGGATGTATATATCCCTACACCGCACTTTCTACACACCCTGTCAGGCGCCCGTGGGACGGGGCTTGTGAATTAATTTCAAGTAGATTGGTAAAGCAAAGGTTAAGGTAAAATTCGGGCGCCAGGGTGAGCCTGTCATTGTACGGGTGCACAACATACACCCTGTAGGATTGCATAGACCGAATATCTTGAATCGTGAAAGTCTAGGCTTGGGCGAGCACAGCCACACTCCAGAGCTTCAAAGATGATGTACGGAGTAGGTATAGCGCATTACCTCGAATTGGGGTCTGTGGGGGATTTTCCAAGGTTAGGAACAATGAATTTATTCTTAATTTACCTACATATGTATATGGTTTGATTGTACCTTGAATTGAATTGTTATTCAACAGCTACTGCCGAGCGGACGCATAATTCATGTGCCGGGCAGGTTCAGGCATGCATCTGGTTAGGGAAGATCGGCAGGGCACAATAGTCTGAATGAACCTAGTCTTCTTCCTACGTAGACAGATGACCTTTGCCCGATACATGCCCAGGCAGACTTAAATGGCCTAGTGAGCTATAATTTCCTAATCTGTGTGTTATTGGTGGCTTTACATACGAATTGATCCTCTAACTATGTGACTTTTCCCCTTTGCCATTTTCTCCTCAGAGAACAAGAGAGAGAAGCTAGATTGGCTTCTAAGCTTCTATCCCAGTAGCTCTAGCGTGTTTCCCAGGTGGTCAGCACTATGCTGATTTTCTAAAAAATGGTCTTAAATATATCTACGTATAGGATCTGCCAATCCGATCGTAGATCCTCCACCGTATTTCTTCTCAACAACGTCGTCACCGCCGCTGCTCTGCCTCCATACCAAAGACCCTAAACCTGCTAAACCCAGGGCGAGCCTTTGCACCCGGGTTCCTTGTAGGCAGCGACATGATCAGTACCTGGATTCATGTGGCTTATAACACTTGCTTTCTTTCCTCCCAGAACTCTTCAAATTTACACACTCCAAACTCACAGCTCATACCTTCTATCTACTCGTGGATTTACGCTGGAACTGCACCAGCAGTCATTGAACTAGTCTCTCACATTTCCATTGAGTAGCTTCCCTAGCTGCTAGCCCTGTCAATCCACTTTGTTCCTTCCTCCCTGAAAGTCGTCTTCACCGGCGCTTTCGAACCAATTTCTGTACTAAGCGCCAAAATGAGCTCCAACAAGTAAGCCGGCTAGTTTGATAGCATGTACCGTCAATATCCGCACTCCCCCCGATATCCCCAATTTTTCAACTCAGTTGTTGATGTTATTCAACCAAGAATCCGGTTATATCCATGTCTTCTCGTTTTATCTACTAACCTTGACTTTCTCCCAGAGGCTCGTCGTCCGACTTCCTCACGGCTAAAAATCTGGGCATCACCAGCAAAGGCACCACTTCCCTCGGCCACAAGGACGCCTCGCAGGTGTCTGTGTTCGCCTCCAATTCCAAATCGCAGAAGGGAAGCTCATATATGCTTGAGGCGTGGGCCGGGGCACCTGCCTCGTCGGAACCGTGGTCATCAGCCAAAGCCACCTATTTGCCCAAACGCTAGGCTTTGCTAGTCGGTATCCGTTGAGATTGAGTTTTGTATCAGAGGATTGTATGTACAAGGGTTTCCGGGGGAGTTTGGTGGCGACCCAAGATCGGAGCTTTGTTTCATCTTTTTAGTTTGGGGCGCTACATCTTAGAAGGGAAAGGCTAGACGATGTACGGAGTACGGATTACATAGTTAACGGTTTTGGGGGAGTGGGGCTCGGCTGTCTTGCTGATCATCTGTCACTTGTTGAATTTTCATTCTCTTTTTCTTTTTTTCTACCGGCACATGGGCGAGATTAATGAGTAGTACGAGGCATAGAGGAATATTACATATGTATCGTATTTGAGGTCCTCTGAGGCTTACCTATCTTAGCTGCCGCTTTTATGCGCTCAGAGTCAGGCTCACTGAGTAATTCTCAGTCCAGGCTCAGACTCCAGGGCTCACTAAGCCGCTTAGTGTGACTTAGTAATCCTCTACGCGCTCAGCGCTTAGAGAGGCTACACATTATTGCTCACTGATTACTTAGAGTTCGACTAGAGGCATCTACTCAGCACTTAGTCTACGCTTAGCCTATAAGTAAACGAGTTTTCAGGGCCCTGTTGTTTTGTGAATCAGGACTATCAAGTTTTGTGCTTTAGAACTCGCTTCATCTGATAGCGGACGGCTCTCGCAGACCCAGGACCTTACGGAATTTTCCACGAAGGCATGAGACCAGCGGGCGTATGGGTAGAGCGTCTTTTTAAGGAGGAAAAAAAAGACCCAAGCCTCAGCTATAGGACGAAGAACTTGAGGCCATCCAGCAACGCACTACACGTTTTTCACTCTAATTCGGTTTTCGGTTACGTCCTTTCCTTTCTGCTTTATGATGCATTCACCTGTTCTCTGATACCCTCGTCTCGTTGCCGGCCCTACAGGGGAGTTGGGTGGTTTGTTGCTAGCTGGATCGACCCGTCTGCTCTATCAGACTGTCATCGCGCTTTTCCCTCTTCAATAGGCAAGATTCGGATTGGTCGCCCGCGTCCCGTGGAGAATACACTTCTTGAGGTTTCAACCCAGCGAACTTCAGAATCAAATCAAGGCCAAAGACGATAGATAAGACGGAAAGAAAGACGTTAGTATTCATAACGAGCGACATGTCTTGTCAAGTCCTGGTAAGTACATAGCTTTAGGAGTAATATCTCAAGCGTCATGGAGCACTACAGGAGACAGCCTGGCAGGCGATTCCCATAGATTACAAGCCAGCCAAGGTTTAGCACGATGCTCCTTGAACCGCAACACCCAGCTCTTCTCGTGCAGCAGTCGTCCTTTGACTCCGGAACCGGTTCCACAGGTATCTAGCACTGCCTGTGTGGCATCCGCCAAGATTCCCCAATTCTGCAATGTGTGATCCTTGCCGTCCTATGGCATAGTTAATGACCCACTCTCGTTTATATGTAGAACAGACGATGTTTCTGGTGGTACTCACATCAGCGCAAAGATAGATGCCCGCACCCCAGGAGCAGCTAACACGGTTGCATTTATGAGCTTCCGCAGCAGGTTGACCGCTAAGCCCGCGGAGGTAGGAATTCCAGATTCGATTGCACCCTTATCAGCGTAGTCTTGATCCACGTCGCACATAATTTTAGCGCCGAGTGCCTATCAATGGACTGTATTAGTATCCTCTTGATGGAACAATGTTCGTTTAACGAGACTTCCTTACCTGGGTAGCAACGGCACCAAGGATGAACAAAGTCGACTGCCACTTCATATCTGCGAAGTATTGGTTTAGATGCTTGTGTATTTACTTAAGCTTCTTGCGAGAATGGTTGACGATGGAGTTATGATATCGATTCTCATGCCTCATATTTATGATTCTCTGCTTAACAACCTCAGGTGTCGTTTTCAAGTCAGGCTGCCACGATGCTCTCAGGCCAGACATGCCACGATACTCTCAGGTCAAGCGTACAACCGTTGTATTAAGTTAGACACTGCATCTAGAGCTGCGGAACTCCGGCGTGCCTCGGAACATATACGCTTTTGCTATACCCCAGAGGGTGACAGAATGCCAAAAGACTGTCTTGGTAGGGGCTTACCAGAGTAAGGCGTAGTTAGGCCCTATAGGTTCATCAATGTTAGGACAATACCTCGCTGGCTATTGTTAATATGGCGCGAGGGGGCCTGAGTCTGCACAATTGAAAAGGGTTTGTCCGCAGTTCGTTTTGTGGATAGGCGTTTACAGTGCCAAGGAGCTCACGGAGGCTGAGTTGAACCAGGCCAAGAAGGCTTAGCACCTCAGTGGACGACCGACATTGGGAATCCACTTTTATTACTGAGCCTCAGGGAGGATTCTCCGACGCGCCCAAAATGAGCGAGATAGACGTATCAGCAGAAAACATCTCTCGCTGGTCCTTGCGATGACATGGCTTCCCTTCCCAACTCGCAGGTAGAAGGTCCCCAAGAGGTTCGGGGGAAAACGATTATTGCTGGTCGCAGAGGACATTTGGCTTCCCCACCTAACCAGGGCCAAAATTCCTCTGCACCAATCCAAACAATCTTCCGCCGGTTCCGTTCGATATTCCACTGCCTCTCCCATTTGGGATAGCAACCCGATCACAGCAAACCAATGAGATACCTAGGTACACTCGGCTTTCCAGAATAGCAATACCGAAGCCAGAGTAGACTGGCCTAGAAAGGGTGATGGTCCAGTATCAATTTACGCTCCAAGAAATGTCCCGTGGATTAGGATTTTGCATGGAAAGATGGCTTTTCACAATTGGTTGCCTGTTGATTCTATTTCTGACGCAACTAACTATAGGCATCATTTTCCGCCATTGTAATGATAGATGTTCATTCACCCTGGTCTGTCACCCCTTGAGGCTCAATACCGCTTCCCCCAAGGGATCAGGAATATGGTAAGAATGGGAGTGTACGCTATTATCCTTGAGCCCAGAACATGTTTTCATAAGCTGAAAAGATCTGCAAGGTTAGAAGTAGAAGGTGGGGGAAGGTGGGGGTAGTGGGCCGTGTAGCTAATCCACTACCCGGGCGCCACGACGCTGGAATAAGCTGCCGATTTTGATTCTTTCCACTTTCTGCTCATGGAGGATTGGTGATCGCACCTTCTGGTAAGGGACTGTCATTCAAGGATGAGCATGGTAGTGGATGGTGGCTACGATATAGCCTAACTGGATTTGGGTTCGTCGACAAGTCAGCTTAGGCCAATTGAAGTAGTGCACTGGGCACGGTCAAAGCGACTTAGCGGTGACTGAGATGGGATATCAAATGACGTGGTACTCTGGTTTGAAAAACTCCACTAGGGTCAGGTCGACCTTAACCATAGCCACTCACATTTCTCTGATGCTCCCTTCGCCGTAAGTTTGGAAAAGGTCTTGTGACTGTAATTGGAAGAGGAATCCATCCAAGAGAGAAGGGTTGCACGTGATAGGACTGACGCTTGCACTTCAACCTTACATTCAAACTTTGGATGAGCCATGGTAGATTGAGGCTCTCGGTCTGTCCCGTCCCCACTTGATCCAAACAATCCAGTACAGTAAAACTATAGGTCCGGAGTACTCCGTCCACGGCTTAACATTCCCCTCTCCTTTTGCTTCCCCCCCCTTCTTTCCCCCTCCCCACCCAGCTTTATGCGTAATCGTTCGTATCAATAGAACGAATATCTGTTTCCTTAATCTCCACCCTTTCTACGCGGTCCCATCTTATTAAGCCTTGAAACAACTTCCAAATGACTAGTTAACTAATGATAAGACCCAATGTCTGGTGAAGGGACAAAGCGATGATGTGTGGTGGCGAGTATCATCAGTTACCGAAGTATCATGGGACCCCTGGGCAAAGAACAAAAGTACAGCCGGTATAATTGTCATCCGAGCACAAGACGAGTTCATTGCCCCAGGAACGTCAAGGAAAAAGGGGAGATTGGGCTTGCCGTCGAAACGATGGAAAGCTGAACCCGAGCTTAATTAAAAGCCTGTTTACGTTCCAGCCATTCATATATATGGAGGGGAGGTGGTTGATTTACCCTGAAGCCCCCTGTAACAGTAATCCTAATGATGCACGTTCCAGGATTACTCTTCATCACCTGCTCCTCAATTTTCTTCCCCCAGTCGCCCTGACAGAGCTCTAAGCCCCAAGGATCTTGCTTCACCTCCAGGAGCGTGGATAGTGGGATTCCAGTCTTTTCATCCACTATATCTCGCCTTCCCAAGCCCCCTTCTACCTTACCCCCGTTCTTGCCCTCCCAACAAAATAATTCCCTTTAACGTTCAAAATGCGCCCCAGAACTTAGCACTATGAACATTATTTCCGCCTGGGTAGGTTGCCCAGCGGTCGTCCCGACAAACGCACAAGTCCGTGCGTCATAGATGGCAACAATGTCTCTGCATGTACCTACGGAGCTGCCATGATCTTTTGGATTTGAGCATGATTGGCAGGTAATGTCTGTCTTTATTTGCTTTGTTGAATAATTTCCAGCCATCCTATTGCATTGCATTTTTGGCCTGCTTTGTGTTCGAGCTTCTCGGGGCCGAATCGATACTTCCGGAGACATTAACCGCTTGGCTCGAGATAACCTTCTTTGAACCCAGAGAACCTGATAACGGGCTAAGGTTAATTCGGGAGATTTCGACTCCGACTGGGTTTGATACTCCCAATTGCCGCTCATTGTTGGTCAGTGGGTAGGTTCAGTATTGCCCAGAATAATTTGTACCTTTTTATTTGTTCTCTTCAATTACGCAGCCATGCTAATCCCATTGAATTCCATTTCTCTTAGCATTCATTCCATCTTTCTATCCACCGTGATGTGACTGCGTAATCATATTCGAACAATAGTGGGGTACCCACGTCACGGCCTGGTCCGAACCCCCAATATCCACTTCAGATTCTGTAGAAATACATTTGCCGATGATCTGCGCTAACCAAAGCCACACGTGAGGAGGCTCTAATGTAATGATGAAAAAAGTCCCTCACGTATTACTTTTGAAGCACCGCCTCAATCCTCCCGGCAGATGTAAGTATGAGAGAATACAAGAGTTGTATAACTCCCAATAGATGCATGCTATAAGAGTAATATCTCTATTTATCCATCGTTAGACTAAAGATTCGTCCTCGAAAGTATTAAAAAACCCCGCGGTTTTACACACCTGCCTTTGAATTGTCAGATTTCAGAGTCTAAAAGCGGTCATTGGTGGCCTTAGAACCGGTGCCCAGTCCGCACAAGGCAACAAGGCGATCGCCTCATTACTATTCCCTTATTGCTTCCAAGGTTGGGCCCAATCACTCGATATCCTTTAGTAATTGATCCCTTCAACCTGGGGACTGTTATCCCGTACGTTTCAACTCTTCTACTCCCGGCAACGGTTCCTTAAACCGAGACTAGGTTTCGACCCAAGCTCTCTCCATGTCCCAGTTTGGGTTGTTTTTATTTCTATTTTATTATTATTATTTTTTGCATTTCATTTCGCCCGGGTGAGACGAGGCGCACTTCCGTATTTAAGAGACCTCCTTTTCTTGTCGATGAAACTTACCTTTTTGCTCAGGTTCGAGCGCCATTCTCTTTGCTCTCATCACCAACCTCCTCAAGGAGACCTGTTTGCCATGTATCCCACTTTCAATAATGAGGAGGTCGGTGAGATGATGCAGTGGTCAGGAGCTCCTAGCTCCTTTACCTCATCCGAGGGGTTTGCTGGTACAGACAATGATCGAGTGGGTGCCCATCGAGAGATGCAACCTTCAGGATACTAATGCTTGACCAGGATTATGGATATTATCCTCCGGGAACCTACTCTTCTGCCGACGTGACAAGCCTTACAAGTTCGGAAGCCTACCAACAAGATTCCGGATGGATGAACATCGAGCCTATTAGTCAAGTGCGAGAAGCTCCACAACAATATGACAGTGATCTGGCTTGTATTGATCCAAGATATTACCTGCCGGACGAAAACATCCCTCAAAGCCTGGATGATCTAGGAAGTTCAACTATCACTCAAAAACCAGCAGATGATCTAATTGAGAGCGCTGCTCATCCACCGGGAGGGTTGGATCGGACCACGATCGGAATACCAAATCCCATACCTTTCGCTCTGCAACCTTCAAGCCAACCTTCGCTTGGAGGTGTCATGAACCAGGTGGTTACCACCTGCAGCGCTCTCATATCTGGCCAGGCATGTACTCTCGATCAAGTTTCTCAAGGGTTGCAGAACCTTGAGACCATAAAAAGCTTTTTTCATACGAAGCTCCCCCCACCTCCTATTTCATCAATTGTGTCTTCAGAACAAGATATGCGAGACAGAAAATTGTTTCGCTGTTGGAAATGTGATCCTCAGAAGAAAAGAACGACCTTTCCAAGTTTTGGTACCTTTAAGAGACATTTGACTGGGCATGATATACGCGACTGCGAGTGGCGCTGTACTGAGGCGGGCTGCCCTACAATCCTCCATCGGCGAGATAGGATGCATGACCATCTTATCAACAAACACAGAAAGTCTGATCTGCTCCGAGCTGATGTGGAGGCAACTCGGGTGAGATATGCCCCTCCAGCCAACTGTCCCTTTCCCTTTTGTTACCGTGAGACACCTTCTTGGTCTGTCTATTTCGATCACGTCAAGAAACACTGTCTCATTTCCCCTGGTTCGGAGAATGCCTCTACCAATGGTGATAATTCTGATCGCGGTGACAATTGTGGCGGAAACGGCAATGGCCATGGCTCTTCTTCGGCCGGACCTAGCAAGTCGAACGAAGGATCGCAGTCTAACCAATCAAACAACCGGGCCGGGGGTACACCTTATCCCAACGAGAGCTTCCCAGGCTTCAAGAGCAGGAGTAATGCGCGTCCTGGTCCCATCTCGCACTCTGCTTCTGACGATCAGCTCAACAACAGCCGTCGTCAAAGCGCCACTGATGCCATTGAACAAATTTCAATCGACGACTTACTTCGCTCATCTCGTGGGTCCAGGGCTCACCTCCCCAGAGACAGCGGGCAGCCCAATAACTTCCAGCCCCCACAAAACCCCGGATTGTCACGAGCCGATCATTCGACCAAGCGTAAGCGCAAGGACAAGCAGAAAGAGCCAACAGAAGAGCAGGCCCCTTTCTCGAATAAATGCAGACGATGTGATCATGATATGGCCAAATGTCGACAGTGCAAATCTGTTCTTATCTGCCACAAATGTGGTGACGTGCCGAGGAGTGCCATCCAAGCTGGGCCTTCTTCGACAGTGCCTGTGCAAGCCCTCCCAGGTGCATCTTCTGGAATCATCAATTTGGGCGAATCTTACCTTAACCCTGAAGCATTGGCGAACTTTGTAACACCCCAGAACATGCCTACTCAACTGCCTTCTTATTACAATCCCAATGAAATTATGCAGTTATTCGACTTGCAATCATTTGACGGGTTGACCAACACATTCATGGACGATACATCCCCAAATGATCGTGTTATCAACGTGGCAATGGATGTCGAAAGCCACCCACCTCTGAGTGATCTCGGCCACAAGGTCCAAGCGTCGCCTATTTTTGAAAGTGATACCAAGTTACTTCGCAGCATTGGACTTGGCACATTGATTGACCCGCTCTCTGTCAAAAGACAAACCGTGCAACCAAAAGCAAAAGCCTCCGGTGGTCCGCCTCTAGGCTCATACACAGATTCTGTTTTCAGAAACAATAAATCTCCATCCCTTCTAGAAGCTCCCCAGCCGGTATCTCGTTGCCAGTGCCCATGTGTCACAGTCCCAACTGTCGACTACGAAGCCCACGCAAGCCTTCAGTTATCACCAAATGAGCGCGTCGAGATGACATTCAAGATGACGCCGGCACGTGAATCAAATCATCCTCTCCGTACCCGAGTGCGAGTCTTCGTGAAGCTTTTCAGTCTCCGCGCATCGACAGCAAAGTCAAACACCAAGAAACAGAGGACTCGCTCAATCGCATCTGAAACTACCGACGAGGATGCTGAGTCTGATCCCGATTCAGACCAAGAGCTCACTCCCACCTCGCCTTCCGGTTCCGAAATCACTCCACTCCTCTACTGGACTGAGGACGTGCGAGACTGGTCATTCAGCTTTGACATCAAGTGGGCTCTGACGAAACTAGCTCAGTGGACCAGCGGCATAGATGCCGATACGTGCCAGAAACTACTCCTCTCTGATCCTGGCCATATACTGGACTTGATGTCTATGTATATTCTGTACAAGTTCAAGATTTGTTGGTTTTTGATGGGTCGTAATGGGCTCAGTGTGTTTTTGAGCATCTAAAAGCACCCTGTTGTCCTTTCTTATAAACCATATCTCTACTCTCATGCTTGATACCCTCTAAGACCTTATAAGGTTACTCTTCTTTCATATTCCTGTCCTTTTCCCTGTTGTTAGACTATATTTTACACAAAACCCTCCTGTACAGTCTGTATACTACACGATGAGAATCCAACTTCAGGAGATACATAATGTCGTCATGCGTTTATGGGGGGCATACTAGTTACATGGCATTTCACGAATCACAAGATTGGACCCGGAATGAAAACCTGATTCATGCGCTGTAAAGCTCATCCCAGTCTCGGTTGTAGACAACTGCCACTATACCGTTATTCAAGAAGAATCCAAAAATCCCGACGACCCTAGCACATGTACAGTAATTAATCCCATATATATATGATTACTCCCCAGGCTCGTCTGGTTGAAGTTCTTACAGAAATATGTATATGCTTGAATAAGAAGCACTGTTTGTAGCAATTATAATCAATGCCATGAAGGCGAATGTAGATGCTTATTCCTTGCTACACGTCTTCAACTCGATTCTGACTTATAGTCACTACGCCTTACGACACCTATATTCATTTGTGGATGCAATGTGAATACCTTGCTAGAGCTTCACATCATTCAAGTTGCTATTTGATCGAAATGGACTTTCATATGCTCTCAGAGTACGTAGGGAAGGGAAACCAGCAGATATAAAGAGGCCAAAAACAAAAGAATGAACCAAACCAGTGCGAGATTCTCGACAGCGACTTGCGGTCCTTGGGGTTCGAACCCGTAGGTAGCCTAGAGAGCAGTCTGGAGCGGATGTGGCTCGTTAGCGATCCCAACCAGACCACCTGGGTTTGCAATTAACTACACTAACTTTGATACCTAACCGATGCCCTCGCTTCATTCCCTCCTACCAAAGTTCTTTCTGCACCTAACCTAGTGCAGCGCTGACTATTTGCCTTATTTGCACTGCCCCCGTCAGGTGTCTGTACTATGTACATGTAGTCTGCCTAGGGCAGGCAATACACAAAAAGGATAAGCTCTATCTATGAGCTGGGTAATATCTTGCCTCTATTTAGTAGGATATACTAGCCTAAGGCTGATCGCATATTCGATGCAGGGATATTGCATTGCATAGCCTCGTCCTCATAGCTTGAGCACAGATGTACTAGCTACCCGAAGAAGTATCAGTCATTTTTATATACCACTTCTCAAATCACGATTGGGTGGCGCAAAAGATATAGCTAGCATATTATATCTTACATCGTCCACAGTATCTTCTCTATACCCTTTGCCGTGGAGTCTGCCTCTACCCGACTGGCTAATTACATGTGTGTACAGAGTACATACAGACATGTACTCTGCACTTATAAAATGGAAAAACGGAATAAAAAAAGATGTCCTAATACACCGTAGAAAAAAGAAGAGAAGAAAAAGCGAAAATTAAGCAGAACCAGAACTGGTAAGATGATTTCGTGAAAACGACCTCAATCTTGCGAGTCTGGCGTTTCGTCGCAGCCATTCCTTTCACCCGATCATTCCCCCTTCGCATGAAAAAGCAAAAAAAAAAAAAAAAAAAAAAAAAAAAAC